TATATATATAATTATTTTGATTAAAAAATTTATAAAATTTTTTATTTCAAATGTCCCAACTTTTAGTATAGTTCAATAGTTAATTGAATTTTAAAATGTGCATAAATTTTGTATAAATAAAGAAAAATAAAGTTAAATTCTATTTATGTTGAACTTATTTTTCAGCATTAAATATTTAAAATATTAAAAAATATAAAAAAACATCTTAATTCATTCACATGCTGTGACTATAAATGTACGATGGCTCTGCAGAAACTTTTCAATGATAACTTGGCAGAAAAGAAAGAGCTTCTCAGGGGAATTACGCTGGGAAACAAAGATTTGTTCCAGCTGACACCTCTCCCTCAGGTATTTATAATTAAATTAATTAAAATATATATTTATTTTTATGATTGCAAAATGGTTTAAATATGAAGAAATATTTACGTCGGGTGGGTTACAGGGAGGGTATTGAGGCTTATATTCGCGTTATTTCCACTGTATCCTTCATGTAACCTACCTGTAACCTATTTGTAACTTATAAATATATAAAATAGAAGCGTGAAATCTATTAGTTACAAGTAATTAACAGGGAGGTTATAGAGAATATAACACAGATATAACGCCCAATACCCTCCATGTAATCTACCAGACGTACGCAGATATGTCTTACATACACAAATATTTCTCGTAAATATGGGGCCTATTTATTGGGCCTCATCAAATTTAAACATAAAATAAAATTGGGGCATTTACATACATACCACCCAACCAATTTCTATGTACTCAAACATCTAACACCTTTACATTTATACCACCCAGATCTTTCCTATCATGTAAAAAAAAAATACTACTATTTTAATTTTGAAATGTAAAATATGACTTTTCATGCATAGGCAAGATGACATATATGTAAAAACTGATTTTTTTTTGGGGGAGATTTGTAAATACATCAGAATTGAGTGGTATGTATGTAAATATTCCAATAAAAAAAAAAAAAAAATTTTTTGTGTAAGTTATACGGGAAGAATCATATTAGTCATAATTCAGGCTCCCTCTTCTTCTTTTCCTTCTTATTATTTTTTATTTATTTTTTTCAGGATATTTTAATTATATGGGGTGAGCATGACCGATTTTTTCCATTGAACAAGGCATATGAGGTTAAGAAGTAAGTTGAGATGTCTTTTATGTCTTTTTTGAAATTAATCTCTATTTATTATTAAAAAATAGTGACATGATATTCCCATATAATTGATATTTGCTTATTCTTGAAAACTAATAGATGTATTTTTTAGATCACTAACCCTATATATTGCTTACATATGGTATTAGTACGTAGTAGGCTTGTTCTAGAAGGATACAATTTTATATTATTTTTTAAAAAAAATAAAGTAGCACTTTAACACGCTATGAACAATGATGCTATATGCCTATATTTTTTCTCAAGTATATGAGGAAGTTTTAACATAAAAAAATAAAAAACTAAAATAAATAAATAAAAACTGTAGCAGGATTGTTCAGCTGGATGAATAATTCAAGCCTCAAAATCCATAGGTTTACTCAATAACAATAAATAGTATATTTTTAATGAAGAGTTTGCACGAAATCTTATGGCATGCATATAATATGTTGGACATGAAAAAAATAATCAATGTATGATTAAGTACTAATGGCTGTGAGGGGTGCAACCGAGCGGAGTCGAGCTCGGGCTGCATGATTAATTTTATGAAGCTCGAGCTCGAGTTCGAGTTCGAGTTCGAGCTCGAGCTTAAGTGTGTGAATTTGAGCCAACTTATTTATTATAAAAGAGATAAAATAATATTAATTTAAGAGTGTTATAATAAAATGACATAGAATGAGCATTTTGAAGATAAATAAGAAGAATCACTTAATATAAATTATAAAATAATATTTTAAAGATAAAATCTTTTAATTTTAATTTATTTTATTTTAATATTTTGTTAAACAAGCCTATTCACGAGCTATCAAGTTGGGGCTAGCTTAAGGTTGGCTTGTTAGCTCATCAAGCTCCGTTCACGAACAGTTTACGAGCCGAGCTCAAGCCAGCTCACTAGTCCGCTTGACAAAATTACACAACTAAAAAAAACAATTATGATGTATTAAATTCTAGACTAATATCATTTTTTTTAATCTTATATGATTTCTTTTTTTTAATAGTTATTTCTTAAAAGAGTTACAAGAATGCCTTCTGGTTTTACACAAATGACTATTTAAATTTCATACATCTCAAATTTACATTTTGAATAGATTTATAATCGCAATCATTAGAAGTAAATGTTGTATGAATATTTTCATGCAAATTATATAAATAATCGTATATGATATGATTTGTCTGTTTGTTAATAATGCTAAAATACTATTATGCTTTTTATGAATATTCAAGAATAAAATTTATTCAGTACCAAAAAAAATGTGTCTATATGACTGATTCCAAAATAAATAAAAAAAAAAAAAAAAACAATTTCTACTGCTTAAAAATTTTCATGGAGATGGTTTGGAGATTTGATTTTATTAATTTATTCATAGAAATAAAAATGTCATTTATTTTAGGGAAATTAATTAAATAAGAGGCACCCAATTCTTAAGTTTGAGCACTAAAGATTAATAACTTAATAGAAATTAATAAATTAATAAAATTTATGGTGAAGTTTGAAGAAAATAAATGGAGTAAAAAATTCAATTAAAATATTTGGATAATATTTTATATCAGGATAAATGTATAATTTATAAGATGTTTGGTTGCAAATAATTAATATTCTTCTATACCATGATTCCAATAGACCATATTCTGTTGAATGTAAAGCAATGAAATTTAGGATCCGTTTGGGGCAACTTATAAGTGCGGGCGGAAAACGCCGACATACCGTTTTGTTCGTGTGTTTCACCAACTTATCTGAAACTGTGTTTGGGTTTTTACACTAAACGCAAACCGCGGGCCGAACCCTGCGGCCCTCCTGGGGGCCACGTTTCAGGATAAACAGCTTATCCTGAAACGCACAAGTTACCCCAAACGCACCCTTATTTTACTGTTTGATCGATTGTAAAATAAAAATAGGTCTTTGATTCTAAAAACATACACTTAGATGAGAAAGCAATTTGATGGAGATTGCCCCATGCAATCCCCCAAGTCCCGCACGAGATCTCTATAATAAGGGTATCAAAAATTGATTTGACACATCAACTCAACCTGAATTTGAATAAAAAAAAATTTGATTTGAGTTGACCTAAAAAATATATGGATTGAGTTTAACTTATGAATAATCCTATCCGGTTTGATTTTTCGAGTTGAGTTCAAGTTGATCCACTAACCTAAACTTGGCTCACTAACACTAAATTAACTCGAAATCGACCTGTCAACTTGAACTTAGTTCAAAATTGACACACCAACCAAAAATTGACATGAAGTCAACTCTAATTTGATATGAAAATCCATTAAATCCTATGTTAAACTAGTTATACAGGCCAGGTTAGGGTCAGCGGGTTAAAGGCAAGTCATGTTGTGTTAAAGAATAATATATAATTATAACTAAAAAGAAATTTGAAAAGCAAATATATATATA